TTAAAGGGCTGCAGGAGCGGGGATGAAGTTCTGGAGAGGGTTAAAGGGCTGCAGGGGCAGGGAACAGGTTCTGGAGAGGGTTAAAGGGCTGCAGGAGCGGGGATGAAGTTCTGGAGAGGGTTAAAGGGCTGCAGGGACCCCGCGGGGAAGGTTTGGGCTCGGGGGGACAGGTGGAGGGAGGTGCTGGAAACGCGATCCGGGCGCTGGGCAGGGAAAAGGGCTTTGGCAGAGGGGACAGGAGCAGATCCAGGGAGGAGGAGGAGGAGGAGAAGGAGGAGGAAGAGGGGGGCAGGAGAGCGGTGGGAGCCCGGGATGGAAGCGGCGGGGGAGGGGAAGGAATGGTAAGTGAGATGGGAGGGCGGCTGGTGACACAGGGGACAAATGGGGCGCCCCGGGGCAGGGGGGCAGGGCCGGAGCGGTGCCCGCGATGGCCGAGGCTGCCAGGGCCGCTCTCCTGCGCAGGGGGGTCGTGGAGAGGCTGCCAAGGGCCCCCTCCCGCTGGGACCCCCGGCCCACCCCCCACCGCACCCCCTCTGACTCCCTCCTCACCCACAATCTGGGGCGGTTCGGGCGCTTCGGGAGGACATCCCTCTCCTGTTCCTCCGCTCCCAGGTAGGTGGGGGCACCCGTGGGGGGCACGGGGAGGGGTGGGCTGAGCTGTCCGTGTGTCCCCGCAGGCTCTGTCCATCCTTTGCTTCCCTTCACCCTCCCCCTTCCCCTTGCCTTGCCCACCAGGACTATTTTTGGGGGGGGGTCTCGCTCTTTCCCTTGGCTGTTTGTGCACCCCTGGGTTGGGGGGTGGATTTACGTGCATCTCCCAGGCACCACCCCCGTCCTTTCCCCGCAGAAATGAGGTGGAAAATGTGGGCAAGGGGTGGGACAAACACAGGGTTTGTGTTAGTTTACAGATCAGGAGACAAGGAAGGTGGGAGAGCAGGAACTCCCCTTCCACAGGGAGTGACGTAAATATACAAATATACCTAAAAACGTGTACAAACAGAGGTGTAAATGCACACAAATACGCGAGAGAAGGGGCAGGCAAACACTCCCAGAGGGGGAAACGCTCCCCAGGACAGTCCCAGGAGCAGTTCTGCTCTCTGACTCCTCCAGCAGAGCCTCTGGGGGGGTGGGGATTTGTCTCCCCGGAGCTCCAGATGTGCCCCGGGGGTGTCAGAGCAGCGGGGCCGCTCTCCAGGCCGCGATTTATGGATCCCTCGATCCCATTTCAAGCCCTCGTTAGGAGGAGACAAATTGATCTCCCGAGGATCCTTCATTTCCCAGCGGGTGATAACGTGACCCCCCCCCCGTGACTGGGGGGCTGTCACTTATTCCCAAGACAAGATTTTGGTGCAGACCCCCTCCCCCCCTTGTCACAGACAGCCCCCAGCCCAGGAAGGGACCGATGACAACCCCCTTTAATTGTCATTCCCGCTCTCTGCACGACCTCCAAAGCTGCCCAAACTGTCCCTGGAAGACCCCAAACTGTCCCTGCAAGACCCCAGACTGTCCCTGGAAGATCCAGACTGTCCCTGCAAGACCCCAAACTGTCCCTGGAAGACCCAAACTGTCCCTGGAAGACCCCAAACTGTCCCTGCAAGACCCCAAACTGTCCCTGGAAGACCCCAAACTGTTCTGTTTTGAGGGGCAGGAGCCCAACCCAGAGCTCAGCCCTTCTGAATTCAGGACACTCACCCCCCCAGACCTCGGCCAGGGCCGCGTGTCCCCTTTCTCCCGTTGCTTTTTCTGGCCCCTGTTGAGCCCTGGAGCTCAACCAGGTCACCCGAGCGCCCGGCTGGAGCGCTGAGGTCCTGGGCGAGGGCTCAGATGGTTCCCTGGAGCAGAGCCTGGAGCAGCTGCTGCTCAGCACCAGCACTCAGCACCAGCTCAGCCCCCAACCAGCAGTCCCTGGAATGATTTCCCGGATGATTTCCACCCGCCTGGCCGCCCGGGATGGGGGCGGGAGCAGAGGGTGGGGGTGGATTCCCACCTTCCCTCCCCACCCGGGGTGTCACCCCCGGTCGGGGCAATCGGAGCGACCCCGAGTTCCCCTCAAACTCGACGGGAGGGGAATGCCCACGGCGGGCCCGGGGCCAGAGATCAGAGCCAGCCCCTGATCCCAATCCCGATCCCACAGGAGAGAGGCCATGGCCGCCGCCTTCCTGCCCGGCAACCTGCAGGACGAGGCCACCTGCTCGGTGTGCCTCGAGTTCTTCCGCGACCCCGTGTCCATCGAGTGCGGCCACAACTTCTGCCGCGCCTGCATCGCCCAGAGCTGGCGGGACCTGGAGGCCGATTTCCCGTGCCCGCAGTGCCGGGAGGTTTTCCCGCTCCGCAGCTTCCGGCCCAACCGGCCGCTGGCCAACATGTCGGAGATCATCGCGCAGCTGGCGCGGCGCGGGGCGCGGGAGGCCGAGGCGGGCGGGCAGTGCCCGCGGCACCGCGAGGCCCTCAAGCTCTACTGCAAGGACGACGCCAGCCCCATCTGCGTGGTGTGCGACCGCTCCCGCGAGCACCGGCCCCACGCCGTGGTGCCCGTCGACGAGGCCTCCGAGGAGTACAAGGTGGCCCTACGTCCGTCTGGCCCTCCCTCTGTCCGTCCGTCTGTCCTGCCCCGACTCCGACCCCAACCTTGACCCCGACCCTGACTCTGACCCCGACCCCGACCCTGACCCCGACCCCGACCCTGACCCCGACCCCAAC